GGCCATCTCTGACCCAGTAACAGTAACACAGGCTGGGGTGCTCACACTTCCAGTCCCCTGTATGTGGGCCAGCACAAAGACCTGAACAATTCTGGCTGGCTGTCTCAGGTGGTGTATGTCGGAGTTTCTCAAAATTTTCAAGTATTCAAAGTGCTAGTTTTGTTAATTTTCCATTTCAGTGGAAGTGGAGCGGTCTGGGGATATTCACACTGAAGCCACCCACTGGAATTTTTACCATGTACTTTAAAGGAATAATGGGATTGTTGAGAAGTTATTACCATTGATATTTATTTTCCCATTCTGTTATGTCAAAACTTTTTTCAGTAGCCCAGATCACATTTTTGACAGCACAGCCAAATTTACTGCTGATGCTTGATCCTGCTGTAGCTCTAACGGCTTTTTTTTTTTTTTTTCCACAGGATTCACTCATCATCCCAGTTGTCTTCTTAGCAAGTCACTGTTGTGATGCTTCATTTTAAGGCCAGAAAGCCATCCGTGTCCTTGACATGACCCAGACATCCATATCTTGTATGAAAAGGATTTTAATTTTACCCCAACAATAAAAATTGATCACTGGAAAATGTATAATTTGAGACCCCGTAATAATCAGGCTCATTATTTTCCAGTGCCAGCATTCTGCAGGTGTTCTGGATGGTGCAGACATAAACCATTACTTCATTTCTGAAACAAGAGGCTCCTCTCAGCCTCTCCACCAGCCTCGTGCCCCGTGCTCCCCTCTGTTGCAGGAGTCACGGGCCATTAGGGTTGTGTAGCTATAGAGATGGAAGCCCTGCTCTAGTCACCCCTCACTTTTTGATTTCGTCCACTTGGTGCTGCTGCAATCACACTTCCAACGGGAAAAATAAAGATGGCCTGAGGACAGACACTATCAAGTAACTGAAAATTCCTTCAGATTTGTATAGGGAGATATGAAATCTGACATTTTAAAGCAAGGTGGAGCCAACTGATGGGTGCTGCCCTGACCTGACTTCAGGGAATTAAAACCTGCTCCTTTTTTGAGGGGCTGAAATTTTTATCGTCTGGTAAAAGTCGTAGAATCACTAGTGATAAAATCTTCAATACTCTTCCAGGTACTTGGATTCAAAAGAAATGCTAGACAGTTCTTACGAACAGTTGTTTCTACAATTAAAATAGTTTCCTTAAGAGAATTAGCTTGCAACTACTTATTTATAAGCTAGATACATAAATGGCAACTTCTTACACATAGTGTACAAATGCCCTAAAGTACCAGCATCAAGCAAACAAAACCGATTCAAATAAACAAGGGGAAGGCTTGTATTTTTAATACACACAACGCATTCCTGAGGGCTTGATCCAATAAACTACAGTGACTGAGATAAGGGACAGACAGAACTGAAATGAGGAGGAGATTGTGACGCTCTGGCTTTCAGTACGATTTACAATACCGGTATTCAGAGACTGTTAAATCACTGGTTTGGCCCCTTTCTGACACAATCATTGTTGCACAGGCACTTCCCAATTTCTATGTAAAATGTTTCCTGGGTCTGCTGGATGTCTCATGGAAAAGACAGCAGGCTAAACTCCCTTGGAATTCATGGCAGAGGGGTTCCTAAGGTTTTCAGGCTAACGGAACATCAACATTTCTTGCTGCTAGTATCATCGTGTGTCAGGGATGAAATGTTTAATTCTAAACAGCATGTAGTGTTGCTCCTCAAGGCCATGGAGACCTCAGATGGCCACCACCTGCCTACTTCTTGTTAACTGTGCTGTGATTTTCCCAGGATCATACATTAAAGATGAGAAAAGATGAAAATACTTAAGTCTGTCCAACCATAATACAAGTAGATATAAGTTGGCACGTAGCTGGCAAATGTAGTCGCTAAGCTGCTCTCCCTATTTGAAGTCACAGAAGTCAGACAGCTAGGCCCCCAGTGACTGGAAAAGGGAAACCTCACACCCATTTTTAAAAAGGGTAAAAAGGAGGACCCTGGGAACTACTGACCAGTCAGCCTCACCGCCGTGCCCACTTAACATCACAGAACAGATCCTCCTGGAAGCTACGCCAAGGCATACGAATGGCAGGGAGGTGACCAGAGACAGCCAGCAAAGGGCAAAGTGTGCCTGACTATCTGGAGGCCTTCTGTAATGGAGTGACCACTGGTGGGTAAGGGGAAGAGCAACTGATGTCATCTACCTTGACTTCTGTTAAGTAACACAGTCCCACACAACGTCCTTGTCACTAAACTGGAGAAACATGGGTTTGCTGGATGGACTATTTGATGGATAAGGAATTGGCTGGATGGCCGCATCCAGAGAGTAGCAGTCAGTGGCTCAATGTCCAAATGGACATCAGTAACAAGTGGTGTCCCTCAAGGGTCTGTATTAAGACTGATACTGTTCTATCTTTATTAATGACAGACAGTGGGACTGAGCGCACCCTCAGCAAGCTTGTGGGTGACACCAAGCTGAGGGGTGCAGTTGATTCAGTAGAGGGAAGGGATGCCACGCAGAGGGACTCTCACTGGCTCGAGGAGTGGGACCGTGTAAACCTCATGAGGTTCAACAAGGCCAAGTGCAAAGTCCTGCACCTGAGTCACATCAGCCCCTGCTATCAATACAGGCTGGGGCCATCAATGGATAGAGAGCAGCCCTGCAGAGGACTTGGGGACAGTGGTAGATGAAAAATGGACATGAGCTAGCAATGTGCACTCACGGCCCAGAAGGCCAACCATATCCTGGGCTGCATCAAAAGCAATGTGGCCAGCAGGTCAAGGGAGGTGATTGCCCACCCTCTACTACACTCTGGTGAGGCCCCACCTACAGTGCTGCATCCAGCTCTGGGGCCCCCAGCACAAGACAGACACAGACCTGCTTGAGCGGGTCCAGAGAAGGGTCACAAAGATGACCAGGGGGCTGGAGCACCTGCCCTGTGAGGACAGACTGAGAGAGCTGGGGTTGTTCAGCCTGGAGAAGAGAAGGCTCCGGGAGTACCTTATAGTGGCCTTCCAGTACTTAAGGGGGCCTGTATTTTTACCAGGAGAAATTATTTTAAACTAAAAGAGGTTAGACTTAAATACAAAGAATTTCTTTAATATGTGGGTGGTGAGACACTGGCACAGGTTGCCCAGAGCAGCTGTGGCTGCCCCCTCCCTGGCAGTGTCCAAGGCCAGGCTGGATGGGGCTTTGAGCAACCTGGTCTAGTGGAAGGTGTCCCTGCCCATGGCAGGGGGTTGGAACTGGATGAGCTTTAAGGTCCCTTCCAACCCAAACCACTCTGTGATTCCATAATTTAATGTCCCTGCAGGCTAATGCTTCTCTGGCCAGGAAGACCCAGGACTGGGATTTCCAAAACTACAGTCATTGCTAGAGGAGCGTGGGAGGAGAAGAAAGCCATCCTTTCAGTGATTCACCTTCTAGCATGAAAACTGCACTGTCATCAAATCTATGGAGATTATTCTTCCTCTCCCCTGACCATTCCTGGTGAACTGATTTGGCAAAGGAGTAATACAGAAATTAATCTATCATTTTTATGGGGAACTGCAGTGATGTTAATAAATCTCTTGGTCAAAACAGTATTGCCAGAGTGAGCCCCTGAGGCCAGACAGCTCCCCAGATTTCCAGAGTTAACGACAGAGATGGCATTTCAGAGGCTGACAATGTCCATAACGCAATAGGGCACTAAGTTGCTTCTAGGCTTTATAGGGATCAAACTACTGGACCTTAAAATGTTCCCGTTGTCTTCCTTCACAGTATGATTTTAGCAGCTAAAAATTAAAGAAATATCCTATGAAAACCAGAATGCCAGGCTTCGAAATGGTGTGAAGCACTCACTTCTAAGTTCAGCTGTTCCTGAGACAACAGCCACTAAAACCATATCACAACGGAAGTGAATGAAATGGCTGTAAGTCAAAAAGGTGACTTCCAAAGATTGCGTTCATCCACAGTGTTAATTCTTCTTCCATTGCTGTTACTGCTCTCTTCAGTGTCCGGGAACAATGACCACAAAGGAGTAATACCAGTAGTGCAGAATGAAGATCTGCAGCTGCCCTCTCACTGAGACTTTTGCCTTTTTGCTTCTTTAAAACAAAAAGGCCACTCACTATGCAGAGCAGGCGGGTGGTGCTGGAAACAGAGCGCCAGCAAGGCCAGAGCACTGCTTATGATCTGGCGGAGGAGATATTCTAGCAGGAAGTGCTACAGGGTCATAGCTCAGCTGCAAGGAGATGCAACTGTATCAAAACAAATCACAGTTGGGGATGGGGCGGGGGAAAAAACACATCATGCTCTCATCACAATAAAAGCTACTTTGATCCACTTTTAAAACAATACATCAATCTCACCTGCAACTCTCATCACACAATGAGCAGAACTAAATATATTGAACAAACCAGCCCGTAATTGTCTCTTTCTCTCTGTTCAGCCCTTGCCAAAGTAACACCTCATCAGTCCTTTTCTATAGCATCTGAAAAGATGTAGATTTTCTTTCACGATGTAGGGCCTGATCAGCTGGAGGTAGTCTGCAGCTGTATGAACAAGGCCTCCTCCCAGCATGGGGAGGATATAGAAAAGGCTCTAAGTGTAAGTATGGAGACAATTTTGATCCAAACAGAGAACTGGGGAGACAGAGAGAGCAAGAGGTATGCACGCAGGCCTCTCTCTGCACATCAGACAGGGCAAGAGGCACGAAGGCAGCCTCGCTTGTAGTTCAGGGATGCAGGGACTGTAGGGACGTGGCTGCCTTCCAGCGCAGAATGGAGGGCACTGGAAAACAGGGTGCCAAAGACAGCCCTGGCCTCATTTTCCTGGCAGACTCCCAGAGCCTCTGAGACAGTGCTGTTCACAGGAGTCTGTCGCTTACAAAAGCCTCTGCTTCCCCGATGAAACGAATGAACAATTGAAAGAGTCCATGGCCGATGACCACGAAGGTTCAAGGAGGCTTGTCTTCCTTGTTGCTCTGTATCTTTTCAACTGCAGTCACCTCGTGCTATCCAGCCCATCAACATGACATGTCCACAACTTCAAACCACAAGGGACATCCTCGTTGGGAAATCGTTCTGAAAGAGAGAAGAGACATGTCAACAGGAAAGCACCCATGGAATGGACAAAGAGATAGACATGGCTTTGACAAAGACACAATCAAACAGCAACAGCTTTGTCCACCCCTTTCCTCTCTCACACATGACGCTTAAGCTCAGGCCTAACAGCCAAGCTGCTCTAGTGACAAGGTTTCCCTCACGGACCAGACTTCAGCCAGCTTCCCTTCCGCAACAACCATGATCTCATTGGTCCTCACTAGCTCTGACCGTGGCAGGATGTTCTGCACTTGCTGGTATCCTGTGTGAGGAATGCCTTTGGCATGCATGGCCCCTACACATGCACTCGCAGGAGTCTGTCATCTCACCCCTTTCAGGAAGATGAGGTCTCTTACACCGTACCTTCCTACTAGCCCTGTCCCAGTGCAGAAGACCAGAGCCTCTCAACCCTTCCTTAACAAGGATCAAGGCCAAAGCAATGCCCTGTAATTTCTGTAAGCCCCGGGTAAGTTCCCTTTCCTACCATGATCCTCCTAAACACTACATAAACTCCCACTTCCTTGGATCACCAGGCCACAGATGCCAAAAACATCCCTTACCTCCCTGGTCCCAGGTACCTCTGTCTCTCCCCTCCATCACGAAGTCCTGTGTAGAAGCTATCTTCCTTTCTGGCCTCCTACACCCACAGTGACTGCCCTCTTCCCACAGTGACTCCCCTTATCTGGGGTTCCCCACACTCGGACTCCAGGCTCTACCCTCCTGGAGAGCCCCCTTGCCCGTAAACCTGGTTAGTAACCCCTGCCTGGTGGCTCCCCACTCAGCCTATTCAGATCAGGAACATCAGACATGGCCTCACTGTTTTCTTGGGGTCCTTTTTCCTCTTCTTGTCAGAGGCGTTGAGGTAGGCCTGCTCCCTGGCCCTGTAAGAAGGGCCTCGGCTCAGCTCCCTCTCGCTGTACGGGGGCAGGGTGTCCTCCCCATCCTCCTGCTGAGGTGGTGGTGGCGGCTGCTGCGGCTGCTGCTGCGACTTCTCAGCTTTGTAGGTAGAGGGTGGTGACCAGGCATAGTATGTACCCCCTCCTCTCTGGCTGGGCTGCGAGCTCAGCTTTGAGGGGGTTTCACTACAGTCACCGCTCTCATCGTAGCTCCGGGATTTCCTCTCCAAGACGCTGCTGAGGTAGGAGTGATCGTATTTCTGGCTCCCTCCGGGCGTCCGGCTCACCAGCCTGGGCAGGTGCTTCTCCTCATGGGCCCGTCTCCGGGGTGGACTGTATGACCAACCCCGATCCGAGTCTGTCAGCGGCTCTCGGTTCCCTCTGCTACGCTTGGTGTAGTACTCCTTCAGGGGGCTATCCTGGTGGGGCAGCCCCCCGCCACGGCCGCCGTGCGACTCTGACCGCTCGAAACGCCGCGTCTCCTGGCTGTCTGCCCGCCGGGTCCGCTGGCTGTAGGACTCTGCAAAGGCTGCCAGCTCGTCCATAGAGACGGCCGGCACTCCTACAGAGAAACTCTTGCGGGACAACATCTCGGACTTGGATCTCTGCTGGCTGGAGGAGGGAAGAGGTAGTGTTAGAGGGCAGGATTCAGCTGCGCTCATCCCCTTGGCTGCCTTCACAGACAATGGAGGGAAACAGGCACTCCTGAGACATGCATCATCTGACCTGTTTTTGTCTTCTGTAGGAAGAATCGTATCACATCCCTGAAATCCCTGCTTCTCTCTGCTGACCGTAAAGGCAGCTTAGTGCAGACAGCTCAGACTCTGCCTGGAGTACAGGTCTTGCTGCACCAACGCACCAGGGTGTGACTCCTAACACAGAGCACCAGCACTGGGAAGTGCTGGAGGCATCTGGCACAAATCTCAAGCGAACACTTTGGGAAGGTTGCCTTGGTTTCCTATTGATCTCACTTCTACATCCCACCTGGACTGCAGCTGATACCTAGCTCTGCCCAGCTGGGAAAGGCTTCAGCAGACTTCTAGGAATCATATTCATTCTGACCTCATCTAATGACATCTCCAGATTTCATGTTTCTGTCTAACCCCTCCGTCCTGCAAAGCAGAACCAGAGCAGCAGGAAATGGAGAAGGGCCACCAGTCCATCTGCCCCTTCTCCTTTCTCTACTACTTCGCCAGACAGAGCTGCCTCCCAGCACGGCACCCCTCACCTGTGCCGGAAACTGTCCCGCTCATCTCTGTAATCAGAGACAGCCTGTGACCTCGACGTGCTGCCCCCACCGATCACTCCTGCCCAGTATTCAGCATCACCATCCAGGTCACCCGCGGGAGGCAGAGGTTTCCTTCGCGACTGGCGGTAGGGCTGCCGGAAGTTCAAGTCCTCTTCATGCAAAGAGCTGAGTTCAGAGATGGTGTTGTTATCTGCAGGGGAGGTTGCAGAAAAGAAATGAGATAGGCATCACCTGATGGCCTGTGGGAGAGGGGAAGAGAGGACATGAAGGCTGTGGGGAGCCCAGCTGCAGCATTTTCAGAAAGAAGCTGAGCTGCCCTCCGTCAGAAAAAAAAAAAAGTCAAAGTGGAACCCAAGGCCCTTCTCCAAACCCTTGACCGATCCTGCCTAAGACTCCTGGAGCTTAGTTTGGACACAGAGCTGCTGTTAGACCTACAGGTCTTCTGAACTGGTAGCTGGCAGCCAGGTAGGATATTCTAAGGGTATCACAAATGGCATCAGATGCCTGTGTTCCAGATAACCGAGTTCAGCCTTCAAGCAGAAATCCCCTCTCAGCCCGGCTTCAGTAACACATGTGGGCTCTGCGCACTCACGAGGTGGGCACTGATTGGTAGGGCATCATCACAGCAGTTGTGCCACCTCCCCCTTTCCTGGTGTGAGACAGGCTGGCTCTGCATTTGGCCTGACTTGCCCAGCTAAAACAAAAACAACCCCCTCAAAAAAAGATGAAGAAAAAAAGTCAAGAGACTGTCTGAATCACTGTCAGTCTCTACCCCGTCAAGCACACTGACATCTGGAGGCCTGACATACCAATCTGGAAAGGTCTTTTTATAGTAAATCTTGTGGGTGGAGAAGACAGTGTGCTCAGCAATGACTGTTTTAGAAGTATATATAATTTGTTAGTTATGCCTAATCTGTACAGAGCTTTGATGCAGTGTCATTCCCTAAAGCCCTGACCTTCATTGATTTGCAGGATCTCACATGTCTGTTTTAAACGAGCCTCTACCAGTGCCTAATGTGGGTGAACTCTGCACAAATCGGATGTTGCCTGGAGGAAACCGAGCCCCCAGCCTGCTGCTGTCCTCCGCCCAGAACAACCAGAGGACAACGAGCAGCACTACAAGCCCTCCTCATGCACATACACCTTGTCCCACCACTGCACCTCTGCCTCCTAATGCAGAAAGACCCTCACTTGGGTTTGTATTCTGACAGCAATTAAGCGCAGCCTCAGCCTTTATTTAGGGAAATAAAGCTTGCAAGAGGCTATTGGAAGACAGCAAGGACTTCCACACAGAATCTCAGGTCTGAATTTGCATCACGTCCCTGCTCACCACCCTCCTCCCCTTCACCTGCAATTTCTGACTGCCAAGCCGTCAGTACTGATGCGTCTACCACCTCCGATCTGATGTTGACCAGTGTCACAAAATCTGACAATCCCCTGGCTTCTTGAATCTTTCTTGTAGTCCATGCTCCTTCTGCAGGGCAACAGCCTCTCCAAACTACCTTTCTGCATCCTTCAAACCACAGTGGTCATTGCAGTCCACAAATCATGCTTTCAGTAAAATCATCCCCCTATTTTGCCATGCTGCGAATTTACAAGTACCACACTGTAAGACGTACAGAAACTGTGAAGACAATATCCCAGCTATTATCACACCACAGGCTGTGGAAGACATGAATACGGACTTGGCTTTTCACATCGATTGGTTGACAATCCGAAAGTTTAATTATCCAAGTGGACAACTTTCATGAGCTTTTGAGTATCCCTCACCTTGTTTGCTCTAAGGATGATTAGGTAAGCAGATCTTTAAAATCAGAACATAACTGTAGATGCTTAAAATCTAGACTTTATCTGCCCCAAGTACCATATCCTGGACATCATATCCTAGAGGCTGGCTCTAAGGCAAAGCCAATGAAATTTTAACTATCAGTTTGCAGTCTTTCTACAGGTCAGTGGAAAAAAAAAAAAAAAAAAAAGAAATCAAACCACGCTTGTTCCTCACATCGTTCTCGCATCCTCCTGGCTGGGTCAAACTGAGCCAGTTCTTTCTCAACATAGTACAGCACCTTCATGGAGTCCCTCTCCTTGTCAGCCTGGATCCTGTACCCTTTGCGCACTGCTAGGGAGAAAAGAAAAGTGTTAGATGAAAATACATTTAAGTCCAAAGAGACTTTCCAACAATAAAGCTTCTGTAGTTGAGCTCACGTCTGCAGGCAGGTAGGCTGCGTCTTCCAAAATAGAGTGAGTCAGCCCTTGCTTCAGAAGGAATTTGTCTGTAACGTGGGATGTGAAGTTCTGAGCAGCTGCATCATTTATAAAGTTTGCAGTAACAGCAAAAATGGTTTGGAAATGCCCAATCTGTACAACCAAATGCATCAACTGGTGTCATTGCCAGAGTGATTCCACCTCCCACAGAGGATGGCAGAGAGAAAAGTAGCACTCGTTTCCCCTTCCTCAGCACTACAGAAAGGATTCGTCATGGTTTGGGAGAAGCAGTTGCACAAGATCAGGCTTTCTCTATGTCGCAGAGGCTGCAAGCTCCCAGTCTGCAGGGGAAGCAGGTGGCTGAGCATTTGGGAGCTGTCATTCTGCAGGACCACTCCACCCTCCCATCCCTATGAATTCTGCTTACACAGGTTGAAGAGCATGTGGTAGGAGAAGCTTCAGAGAACACAGAAAAAAACACAGAAAGTCCCACAAAGCACATCACATTGCTTTGAGATTTATACCGAATCCAGTGATGGGGCCAATCAGGTCACTGGGTAACTGTGAAACTGCCTGCCCTGGCATTCTTGAATGCTTTATTTTATGGAAAAGGTATGTCTTACACATACATTAGGTGCTTGACTCCTGGGATTACTCCATTTACAGGGGAAGTCTGGACAGCTTTTTTGGCTTTTCCACATTCCTGTGTGTAGAAAAGAAGCCCCTACACACCTGGAGCCACTGCAGTTCTAACTCTGGCAGGCTGGCTCCAGGCACACTTTATCTGCTAACCCTACGAACAGCCTGACTTCCTCAAGGCAGGTCTATAGTCAGCAAGCAGAGAACTCCACCAATCAGAAAATAAGGCTTTTTTAGCAGATTATTTAAGAAAGGTCTCAGCCTGGGGCTGTGACAGAAACACAGGTCTAAGTTCAAAAGAGGACTACAACCCTCACACTCAGCCTCATTACAGAGCTGTTGCGAGGACAATTCACTTAGCACTACAAAATAGAACCTGTCTGCCTTGCATGGGGTTAATACGTTCCCTTGTGTGAATACTGCAGTGTTGCACGAGTGCTCCTCTTGTGGCACCATTTAAATACTTAGACCTTGGATGGTGGTTTTGAGCCAACCTGTTCTTCACTGTTTTATCCTCCCCCCCCCAAGACATCAAGCAACTAACAAACACATGCGTTTGGTAGTAGGTTGCATAGTATGCTCTGTGTGGGCAGAACAAGGACTTGGCAGAGGTATTCTTAGGCACCTTCTGTCCTAAACTGCTGTGCGTATGTCTGTGCACTATTAAATAACCATGCTCTGCTTCAGAAATGGCCATGCCATAGAAATGGGCAGAATGATTCCTGTAATAACCCTGCAAATTGCTTCAGGAGGAAAGTGCTTTACTGTGGGTTTTGACTGTGCACTTGTAAGGTAAGTAACCACATCTTAGATCACAGAACAGTTTCAGCTAGAAGACAGCTCCAAGATCATTGAGTCCAACCTTTGTCCCAGCTTCACCAACACCACTAAACCATGTCTCTAAGCATAGCATCTACTCGTCTCTTAAACACCTCCAGGGATGGTGACTCCACCGCCTCCCTGGGCAGGCTGTTCCAAAGCCTGACAACCCTTTCAGTCAAGAAATTCTTCCTAATACCCAGCCTGAACCTCCCCTGGTGCAGCTTAAGGCCATTTCCCCTTGTTCTATCCCTTGTTACTAGGGAGAAGAGACTGACCCCTGCATCGCTACAACCTCCTTTCAGGTGGTTGTAGAGAGCGCTAAGGTCTCCCCTCAGCCCCCTCTTCTCCAGGCTAAACAGCTCCAGATCCCTCAGCTGTTCCTCATACGAGACATGCTCCAAATCCTTTACCAGCTTGGTAGCCCGCCTCTGTACCCTCTCCAGCACCTCAGTGTCCTTGTAAAAAAGAAGGGCCCAAAACTGGACACAGTACTCGAGGAAAGCCCAGTACAGTGGATTGATCACCTCCCTGCTCCTGCTGGCCACAATATTGCTGATACAGGCCAGGATGCCATTGGCCTTCTTGGCCACCTGGTCAAATCTTGAAATATTACCTTGCATATCTGTACTTGGGAAAGGAATTAGGTCTTAAAACATAGTATGAGCCTATCAGGGTCCTGCTTTCAACATGTCTCCGGACAGCTTAGCTGACAGCAGTCTATAGTTTCGCTGTGTTTCATTATTCCCACGAACCTGTGCACAATGACTGCATTTGCACGCAGCGATTTACAGAACACAAGGAACCCTGCCTCTGCCTTCCAAAGTGGAAGACCATCGCATTTCTTGAAGCGAGGCTGATGCTAGGAAGAGGGTCTGGACTGACTGGCCTCAGAAGCGATGAATCCTGCTGCACTGTGCGAGCAACATCAAGGCGAGTTCTCCACTCACCTCACCATCATGGCTGACCTGTCTGGTACCTTGCCAAGAAAGAGGTCTCTCGCTATTCTTTCTTCTGATGTATCTACTAAGCTCAGCTAAGCTGCCACCTCATTTATACAAGGCCAGCAAACAACCATCAGCTGTAAATTACTCTGGCCTACTAATAACCTTTGGGGAACTTAAACAGGCAGCTTCCAGACACTGACTCCCCAGAGCCAGTACCCATGCTGAGGCTGTGCCAAATATCCATTTGGGCAATATCTATAGCTCCTGGAACTGATGGAAAATTAGCTAGCTTCATGCTCGACTTGCTATTGCAGCTATGTATCAAAAGGCAAATGAATTTCTTGGTGAATTCTATAAGCATCTAGAAATTAACTTTGGATTTAAATCTGCAAACATGACTGTGAACAGCTCATAAAAAGTTTTCAATTATAGACGAAGCATATTTTTTTCTATGTTTATTAAATACTTCTTGCAATGATATTGAAAGTTCAACTTATTAAACCTCTTTATTATTCCTTCATGTGAGAACCAAAGATATCATTGCTTCCTCCTTACACCCTTCTTCACCTGTAAATTGTCATAACCCTTTAATAAGGTCTGAATATTTTTAGGCCCATCTTAATTATAAGGAAATACAGATGCAGAGACATAAACTACTTATCCAGAACCATTCACTGAAGTCAAAGGGAAGGGAACATTCTTCCCTGTTAGACCATATTTTCTTCTCCTGAACAGCTCATAAATTTCTAATGTTTAATTTGTGTTTAACTAGACCCTTTTTTTACTCTTCTGTGGGTGGAACCAAGTCAGCCAAAACTGTAAGCTGTTTCCCTCCCCAGAAAGGACAGCACTACTATTTTTTTCAGACAAGTGTGGTTAGGAAGTAAACGATGTCTCATCCTTATACACTTCCCATATTAAAGGTCCGGAGTCCAGCTCTCCGATCAAAAGCTTCCTTGTGTGCATGGTTTAAGGAATCTATGCAAGGGTTTCCAGGTAACCACTGCATTTAAAACAGAGAGAACATACATCCTAACTTATGTGTTGCCAACACTCCTCTAAATAAAAGAGCTGAAAACTTGGGTTTTTTTCCCTGTTCAGCCCTAAGTTTAGGATGGAGTTCCTAGGCTTCACTGGAGCACTGTCACATGGCTTTTATGTAATCCTAGAAAAATTTTCTAAATATCCTCATGCCAGGGTTTGGTCACTTCATCACCTCACAGGGCTCATTTACCAGCACAGAAACTATCTAGGGCAAGGGCTGTCCTTTTTAGCCTGGCAGCCAGGATTACAGAATCCTCCCGTCTCTGTCCCCTAGCACTTTTGATCACATTTTAAATAAACCTGACAGAAAGGTTCAAGTCTCAAAGATACCAAGTTTCAGATCAGACCTACCACACTGGCTGCGTGGAAGACACAGACACGGGGCACAAAATTAGTGCTCCTTCTGAGAAAAGGCTTCTATTAGAAACTCAACCATCACCTGCTTTGTTTAGCTTGGTGCCTGGCCAATCAGCAAATGAGTAGCTTGGAAAAAGCCACATAACGTTTTCTCTTCTACATCCTCTCATTAAGGGATATTCTGGCATTGTGGAGGACCTTACGAGAATAAGAACACGGTGCAGGGTATCACCCTTCCTTAGCTCCACAGTTCAAGAACATCTTGGACAACAGGTGCATGATCCAGACTAAGAGTGTGTCCATATTATTGCAAAAAATGTTAATTAAAAACAAAAACAGTTTAAGAACCTCTGCTGTCTTGCCACAACAGCTAAAACTCTGTAATAATGGTTTTATTTGCGGTATTTCCTGTCAAATCTGGAGTTGAGGGATTAAGTCCATCCAGCTGATTCGGACTATGTAATAAATGCATCTTCCTGTAAAATAAGCATGGGATGCTAAGAGCCATTCCGTTTGGTTACCAAATGCATCCACACTTTTTCATGCTGCATTTGTGCCCTGCTAGTGATGCACAGCAGAGACGAGACCGGGGCTGTGATCTGACTCTTAAAAAATCCCTGGAGTTCCTATGGCCAACATGACGCTCTACATGCAGTGACATTTTTCACAGGAGAAAAAAAAAAAAAACCACAAACACTGAGCTGTCATTCATCATTTTCTGACAAAGGTTTTTGAATTAGATACCTTCTGCTTCGGATCAGTGATTGATTTATTTCCTATTTCGAAATGCTCCATTTCAGAGCTCTGTTTTGATTTCAGCAGGGAAAAAAAAGTATGATTGCTGAAGGAAAATACTTTTTGTAATTCCAGAAAGGTTAATATACTGACTGGGGCAGCAGAAGGGTGTGCAGGGTTGTCCCAAAAGCTTGATTATTTGATTATGCTACTTGATCTTGTCTTTTTGGAAGTATCTTATCAACACGTTGTCATAGGCACATTTAACAATTGACAATTAGTGTGGTGCTTTGAAATCAGACACGTGGCTGGATCAATGGCAAGCACACTGTGTCAGTACGGTGACTCTACATTGCTGAGAGTTGCTTCTGCTGCAGCACGTTTGAATTTAGACAGTCACTCTGATCCTGAAACGCTAGCATGTGGCTACATAGCTACCCTCTTTTACCTTGACGGCAGCTTCCCCTGCAGCGGGAGAAGTGACCCTCACCAAGACAGAGTCATCATACCAATACGTCTGACATTAATCCACAACTCCTTTCTAATTAGAAGGCTTTTATCACTCACATTTCACAAATGCAAACGCTGAACAAAAAAACTGACCTACTGACTTCTGTAAGGTAGAGGAAGGGGTCCAGCCTCAAATGCTCTTGGGCAGAAATGCCAAGGGAGCATGTCCCTGTGCCCAAAATGCCACGGGAACAGTAAAATACGTTGCAGCAAAAACTGCTGCCGAGGGCAAGCAGTGCCCTACAGAAGGCAGGAAGAACAGTTTACCAAGAGACAGCAGCTTGCAAGGCATCAGCTCTAAGGGGAAAACGACCACTGCCTCTGCTCCCCTGAAATCATCCCTATCCTTTTGTCCTCCGCAAGTAAACGTTTGCAATAGTAACAAGACGGGTCCTGAGCTTGAACGTGGCCTCCCATTCCCTGCTGACCTAATTAGGCACCCACAAAGTGACACTGTGTTGATAGCACTAGAGAAGTTGGACCTCGTTGCCCTAAGGATGCAAATATCATTGTCAGAGCGAGGATTACAAGGCAGTCTCTCTGTGTTTCTTCTGTTCATACCACTCTATCAGTCACCATCATTCCTCCCTTTCCCAGCCCTGCTCCCAGTAAGAGGACTGAATGATGTGCCTGGACTGCAAATTACCATTTTGGCTTCCTCCACCAGAGTCACTTGGGGCTAAGGGAGGGGGGTGCGACTTATCCATCAGGACAGCAGGAGGCGGGACACCAGCTACAGGAACACTGGGGATGTAGTATGGACCTGGCATGGAAGAGACTGCAGGAGGGTACCCAGCTTTTGCTGCCTTGCCTGCTACATACACTGAAAAAGAAAAAAGAACAGCAGTCAGCATCACACCAGCCTCCCACAGACCCACACCACGTGTGGTCAAAACCTGCACATCACCAACTTTGGTGACAACCCAGCAGGAGACAACTGGACAAACGAATTGACAAGGACCAATGTGAATTTCTCTAGCCCTCAAAGGGCACCGAGGGGAGCTTAAAAATTGCACGCGGCAGGCGAGATGAGCACTGCAAGATGCCCAGCAACCAAAGCACGTTCAGCGTGCTACAACCGGCACTACCACTGCCACGATTTAGTGGCAGTTCAGCTTTAAAAACAACTGATGACTCAAGTCTCAGGGATGAGGTTCATGAGGCTTGACAGATCTGCCTGAGCCTGAACAGGAACCGTGCTGGGTTGCAAAGATTCTGCCCTGTTGTAGAGGGCAGCTGCTTTGCATGGCCAGGAAGAAACCTCCCAGGACGCCCTCAGCTCTGGCCCACAGCATTCACTGACATAACAACAACTTTGGAAGGGGAGCATGACGTTCTGGAGAAGGCGGCACAGCTGCCAAGACAGGGAGGGCTTGGGGAATTACATTTGTAATTAACTTTGAGCGCTCAACCATTGAGCAATAGGTCAGATGCTTCACCCCCTAAGAACTAGTTCTTTATACAAGCAAAGTGCTCAGGGCAAAGGAATCAATATTAGCACTCTCCTCCTGTTCTGCCAGGGAGCAGAAGCAGTGCATGAGAAGATTTGCGCCAGGCTCAGACAGGGTCACTCACACGCCCGGGGACAGCAGCAGGACTCAGGACAGCAGGGGCAGCGGACATAACAGCAGCAGCTGTGTGGGCAGCACTGGCACCAGCAGATCCCCACCAGGAGGAAGAAAAAGGATCACCAGGCCCACGAAGACCCACTCTGTAAAACAAGGGGAGGAAGGGAGATACTTACAGGATTGCAATCGCTGTGGAAGGGAAAGTCAGCAACATCCTCCCAGGGGAGTGCACAGGCGCAAAATAGATGGTGAATAATGGAAGTGGACTCTATGCAGGTCTAGGACTACGTCCCTCTCTGCATCAAAGCAGAAATGGCACATGACAGTGAGAAATGGAGCTTCAGAACTACGGTCCCTTCTTGCAACATCTCTGGCTGGCTGAGAGGCAAGCAGCACGGAGGCGGGAGCTCTGGTTCCCCAGCACAGAAACCCTTCACCCCACAGCAGACCTGTACGAATGTTGCAGTACATGCTCCATTAGCATTTAGGTCTCATCAAAGGCTCATTCTTCCTGGCCATGTTCATGCCCTGCTTGTGTGTTTGTTCCCTACCCACATTCTAGTTTTAATGGGACAAACGATGGTGAAAAGCAGGCTATAAATAGCCCAGTGAACGAGCCAGGACTGCCCCTTCACAACTAGGCCCACGCATGCAATTATTCTTTTGAATGTGCCAAATGAACATCCTATTCAGGCACTGCAGCCAGCCAGGAAACCTAACAAACACTTCTTCCCTG